TATCATTCATCGCCTGACTCGAACTGCAGTTAAAATATTGTGTTATGTACCTCTTTGATATTTTTTGTTCCCAGGTTTGTTTTACTGCTTTACAACGAACAAAACAAATCAGCTTTCCCAATGAATTTACCGATCCAATCCAGCAAAACCCCATTGATCTCTATGAAGTTTACATAATCACACAACACGGTGTAGTATTCACCTAAAGCAGCAGACCCCGCGATCACAACCATTCCTGTTTTAGACCCTGGTACAGGGAGTAGTGAAACGGGTCAACATTGTATTCACGGGTGGCCTACTTTTCGATTACCAAAACTGTTAACATAAACCCTGGAACTTGGAATAGTTCACCACTGAAAATCCTGATAAAATTGCCTATGAACTTCACACGAACGAGCTGCATATCCACTGAGTGTGTGCAAGTCAATCTCTGTGACCCTAAATATAAAGATTCCTAAGACCCCAAAAAATATTTCCTCGCACCAATCAGCAATGTACCTGCTTGTTGGATCAGGTGCTTGATAATTTATTTCTGAGTGATTTGCTTTTTAATTGAGATGTTGCATACAGGGGATGAAGGTTTGCTCTGACTCTGACTGCTAGTGCGTGGCTTATTTCAGTCACAAAGTCCCTCATTCGTACAGATCTGCGGTTCAGCAAATATATCAGGCAATCTTTTGGGACTTACGGGACCAAACCCCTCAGGCTTCCCGCAATTACGCGCTATATTGCACCTTTCAGTGACGTAATGGGCAAGCGCTAGACCTTAAATCAATGAAAAAAATATCCAGAAAAATTAAACCGCTTGACCTCTGCCGCAATCCTATGGTTCGTTCATTACTTATTTGAATTAATATTCGTCTTTCTCGAGTTGACCTTTGCACCCTCCAAATGTTTCCTAGGTTTATCAATAAAACCGTCGAAAGCAAAACGAAGCGTCTCTATCAGCAAGGTTGGTTCAAATACAACCGGCACGCCTCATCGATCACCTTTGACTTCACGTCGAACGGTGAACTGTTTCACCGTTCAGCATTTTGCAGGCCCAGTGACGTACACTGTTAGCGGATTTGTTGCCAAAAACTTAGATCGCCTTCCGGTACACCTGATAAATTGGATCGCTGACGCGATTCAGTCTGATTTGCCCAGAAACACCCAAGATGATGCGGTATCGTCTGGAAAAGTGTCCACTCCACCCGGTGTAGGACTGATCCAGTCTGTTCTATCTCGCATGAGCACTGCAACAATACCCGTTCGCAATGTGGCGGTTTCTCCGTCAGTCTGTCGCTCACCTCTACAACAACAAAACGTGCCAGCTCGTGTATTGAGCTTATCGTCGGAGAAAAGATCACCAACGAAAGCTCATATACTGCGTAAGTTCTTTCAGCTTTTAGGGGTGAAAATTAGAAGGTGATTTACACATTGATTTGGCCCTCGTTTCGCGATACCTTTTGGAATTGTTTGCTTCGGAAGCAGGATAATCGGTTTTTGTATTGTGCATAGCGCATGAAAAAAAACAATCACTTTTTGCGCGGTATAGTTGTATTTATTCCATTATCTGTTTACGCTGTTTTCTCTCCCTCAAGTTTATACCAGAGAACATCGGATGTATCCGGGTTTCACTGACGTTGAAAAGGTCAGGTTTGATGATTCTGGATTGGAAGTTGAACAGTCTGTTTTAAAAGTTTGAATGTTGGACTTACTATTACTTTGGTAACATTCTAGTTATTTTCTACACATTTTCCTGTATGCAACGCTCTTCTGTAGTCTAATTTGTACCAGGGGCTGATCTGTACACTACATGGCACATATTCAGGTCGCGGATAAAGAAACAAGCACCAAATTGGTGGCTCCGAGTGAATAGGGTGGGCTAAGACCTACTGATGTAGCGGTCTCTGACTATCAATGGAAATGCCCCTGAAAAAAAGGCGCACGATTTTCTCGGCAAAAGTGTGATGTACTGCAACCCAGATGCATTCAAAGACATTTTTTTTTTTTACCAAAGTTACACGTCCAGTTGAGTAAGGCGATTTGAGGTGATACCGTGATTTAGCAAGAGGTGAATGCTAAAGTAGGTGGACTGTCTTCGAACGAAAACCATTTAAGATCTATTTGGTTAGTTTCCTTTCAGCCAGGTAATTGGGTCACCTGCAAATAAGTTTATTTGGTCAAACAGATCAGTCAAGTCTCATTAGCGCTACTTCCCCCTCCGCCAACCTCACTATTTGCACTGTTGTATAACTTTTAGATGCATTGATCTCCCAATATCGATTCAGCCTCATCCCACGGAATGGTCTTGAACGTGGATCCGTTTTTCATTCAATGATGATACTGATGATGTCTGCCATTTTTGTCCGAAACATCAGTTGATTTTCTGAGGGAAATTCATGTATCCATTGCCATACAAAACTATTTGCGTAGTGTTAATTTTTTGTTTATCTAATCAGATCATTTCGTTTGCCTGAAAGTTCTGTTGTTTCGCATACCTTTTTACTTATTACTTGTTACAAGTGTATGTTCTTATTTTAATTTGAACCATCGTCTGTCTGTAACACACCTGATATTTTGTGATTCACGTACTACTTCAAAAGATCTTTTCCCCCGAATTTTCGCGCTTTTCAAGGTTGCAGTTCAAAAGAAAATATCAAGTCCCCAACGCTGCTTGGCTCGCGCCGTATAAATACTGTGTTTGGGAACTTCCGAGTAAGTGATTTGTACGACCATCGATGATATGTATACCGTCAACTCCTCCTCTCTGTCTTTCCATTTCATTTTCATAAGAGAGCACAATCTAGCCTCACCGACAACGTTCACAGAAAGTAACCATTCCATCTAAAACGAAAATCATTACAGTTAAACGAAGTATAATCCGCAGTTTCCTGTGCCCGGCGGTGGGAGACTGAAAGTTGCTACGAACCTGACCGACGGAGCCGTACTTTTAGTGCTTCTGGAGCTCACGGATTGGA